CTATACTGCACTTCAGAATAACAATGGTACTTATACAGGTCAGTGATGTTCTGCAGTTTTCAAAAGCTCAAATAATGAAAATATAATGGCATAAAACATGTGTAGATTTTCTGGTATATTTAAGTGTATATTTTATCATTTCATATAAGCCCCTTGAAAAAAAACTTTGATTAAAAAAGAAAAAAAAAACTAAACATTTTTCTGCAGTCAGAGACGTCTTAAAAATGTCATTAAGAGCAGCGGACATATTGTTAAAACTTAGTTAAATCTAAAATGACTTACATTATTGAAAATGATAAAAACACAAACTGAGGTCTACAAATAAACTGCAGGCCTTTCAAAAGTTGTTGTGTTTTTTTTCTTAAAGTTTTGAAGAATTTGCCCTAATACAGCATTAACCCTCAACTCTGGTACCTATTTTTTTCATATAAAGAGTAAAACACTTCAAAATTGGATAAAACTTTCCCTGATACATTTCACTCAGAATTTTGAATACCAGAAATAGTCCCAGATATGTACATGTATGTATCCTTATGTTTGTAATGTACTAGCTCAAAAAAATAAAAATAAAAACATAAATAAATATAGATACAAACTAGATTTCTATCCTGCACTTCAGAATAAGCACATATACATAAATACATAGACATTGTGTTTGGTCACTATGTGTGTTTTGGTCATTTTGTTTTGCCGCTCATACTTTCAGTTTGACTAAAGCTTGAATAATCATATAGTATTAAAAAAAAGTGCATTGTGTAACTTTTCTGGTGGAGGGTCCATCAAATGTTTTTCTCCAGGGAGATATTATTGCTTTGTCTGGAATGTTTCACAGTTTCTATCATCATGGAGACCAAACCAGACCAATAGACCAAAAAGGATCATTTGTTCTACCAACAATTTAGGTTATTCGATTCTTTTTAAGGACCAAGAGTTTGTTTTTAAACTGGGACGGAGCAAACATCATTGGGACGGAGGAAAATAAACATCACCGCTGGATTAAAGAGGCAATCGAAATATGGAAACGAGTCAACAGACGATAAATTGGGATGAGGGGGCTTTGTTACTCTCACACACCTGGGATACTGTCCTGAGGAAGTCAGACTGCAGATGGCGCTGTCGTCCTGCCTCCTCCGGTAGGAAAACAGCGCCAAAACCCGTTTAAATCAGCTGAACAGACACGTCACAGCAACATCACGTGACTCTGAGGAAAACCACAGTGAGCAGTCAAAACTGTCAGGTATGAAAACAAACTCTGGTCTGAAAAAAGAACCTAATAACATCAACCAGACCAAGTTACAGGTCAGATCTGTGGAGAGGCAACCCACTCACAGTCAGAATTCTCATTTTTTAAAGTATTTTTGAGCCATAAAATCACCTGTAATTGAATAAATGTAAAGTAGAGCTGTTTAATGTCACACTGTGGAACTGTGGAACATAGAAACAAGTAGGTGAGGTTGCACAATGCCTCTTTAAAACGAATATTAGGCTACATTTTGCTCCCGTTTATCCCTGTTTACAGCTCCACCTACCAGTGGCTTCCAAATACCTCACAGGGATTTTACCGAGAGCGTCTGTGAGCTCAGCGTGTCTCAAACTGAAAGTGCGGCCATGACACCGGCTCAGGCCCCTCTGCCAAAAATATCACACCACTCCTGAGCTCTGACCATCTGTGGAACCACAACATCGCTTCAACACGGACTTTCTCTTTGTAAATAACCTATAGTATGATTTGTCTTGGTTAAAATCTCTTGTGACAATTTTAATTATTATTTTTATATTGCACTATTTTCTGTTGTTAACCATTAACTTATGCGTTTCTGTTTAGCGCTTTTATTTTGAAGGGTTGTTTTTTGGTTAATTACCTTGACAGAGCAAATGTATACATATATATTTTTAGATATTTTTGTGTCTTTATTTTGTTTAGCTTCCCCTCTGAAGAGTCACAAAGGTATGTTATTGATTAAAATATTTCTTTTGAATAACTTTGTGTCTCTAGCTGTTATCATTGTTGATTAATGTTGTCAAGATGAATGTAAATAATAATCAAACTTGCGTTGAGTTTTGTGTATTTGTATTTACACCCTGTATTTTGTATTCCTTTTAGCTTTTACAGCAGATTGGAGGATTTATTGCCAATAAATAAAAATAAAAATCGCCCGATCAAGTGTCAGTCTTCATTCAGAGGCTCATTCACGCTACACTCTTTTTTATTTTTGACGATACCAACATGTGTACAGTATAGCCAATAGGGGTCTGCAAAAATATTGAAGTATCGATATATTGTATTGTTTAATTTGATGATACAGTATCGATATATATCACCAAGAGTATTTTTAGGTATATTTTACTAAATTATTTTGTGTACGAGCTACAATTGTGTTGACATTTTCACAGTTTTGAGTAAAATGTGTTTTTCTTATTGACTTAGCACAAAATTAATGGACTTTTAGTATCAGAGCCATGATTTAGACTTTGTAAAAAATTAATTTATTAATTAATTTAAAAAAAAAAGCTCTGTAATGCGTCTTTGTGACATGTCTGTGAAAAGCGCTACATAAATAAAAACTTACTTACTTACTTTTTCAACAAACCATATCGAATCAGTTTGAAATATATAGAATCGTACTGAATCGAAAGTGGACTGTATCAAAAAACGTATCATATCGTGGCCTATGTATCGAGGTATGTATCGTATCGGCAACTTCTTAATGATATTCGGCCCTAATAACCAATATGTCTTTATTCGGGCTGTAGTCTTTAAAGGTTCACTGTGTAACTTTCCTGGAGGGAATCTGCTACCTGAGAAGTCTTCCCTAAGATAGTAACATTTTTTGCCTAGAATATTCCACAGTTATTCAAATGTAGGTGATTTGAATGCCTCTCCACAGATCTGACCTGTAACTTGGCCTGGTCTTATCATCTGCCTGTTGAAGATAAAAGATAAAAGTCTATTGCCACAGAAGCCATTGCCACACAGTTGCAATAAAATGCAATAAAATTTCCAACAACTTCCAATTTGTTTTCAACCAACAAGATCCTGCACACGTACAATCTTTGAAAACATGAACCATCTCCAACGCGACACACCATCGCCATCATCATCAACATCCCTCTGTCACAGAAAAAACACTCATGTTCCACTGAGTCGTGTCCTTTAGTCCAACAGAAGCTGAACCGCATCAGCGCACGAGAGCGTTTCTTTTTTTTTTCCACTTAGTTTATACAAATTAGCCATGTGGTTTTAAGTTTTGTTTCTGTGAGACTTGCGCAAAGCTGCATTAAACACATTATAATGTCAGGCTGATGTGGCTCTAGAGTGTTTATGGTTTATATGTTGTAAAGTTTAGTTAATTTATGCAAATTAGTAATAGTAATAATAATGATGATACTTATGATATAAAAACTATAATGATTAATCAAAACTCGATCGTTAATTCTCCCGACAATCGATTAATAAAATTTCATCGAATGTCCATCCCTAATCTACAGTAGGAAGATGAAATATTATGATTTATTGTTCATTCTTACAAAAGTTCTGAGCATTAATAACAATGAACAATGTATTTTTTTCATTCAATGTTAATAGAATATTTTGTGTTTTATGATAAGAAATCATGTTAATTTAAAGTAGTTATCAAAATCGAACAGAATCGTAAATCAGGAGTCCAAAATCCAAAGTCGAAAAGAATCGTGACTTAAGTGAATCTTTCCATCCCTAATCAACACTATACCAACTAAATCTGTGTTTCATTCGTTTTTCAAAATAAAACCAAAAATAAGAAAACAAAAAAACTATGATTTTCTTCATTATTTGTCTCCAAAACCAAAATGAAAAAACAGATAATGATTAGTTTTTTCAGTTTTCGATTTTGTGTTTAAATGAAAAATGGAAAAAACGGATAACGACCGTTTCCTGTTTACGTGACTTCCGTGACTGCGATCTCGGACTTTTGCACTGCATATGGACTGAACCAGGACTGATCCAGGTCCGTGACCTGACCGGGACCAGACCGGGACCAGAGCGGGACCAGAGCAGGACTGAGACCAGACCAGACCAGCGCTGGACTGAGACGAGACCAGACCAGGACCAGGCCGGGACCAGACCGAGACTGAGATCAGAACTGAGACCGGGACAAGACCGAGACTGAGACCAGACCGGGACCAGCGCTGGACTGAGACGAGACCAGACCAGGACCAGGCCAGGACCAGACCGGGACCAGACCGGGACCAGACCGGGACTGAGACCGGGACTGAGACCGGGACCAGAGCGGACTCCAAGCTTTGACTTCGAGCTCCGGCCCTGCCATGGGCTCTGAGCCTCCGGTCTCGTCCCGGCCTGGTCCCGGTCTGGTCCCGGCCTGGTTCAGTCCATATGCAGTGCAAAACTTCGGCATCGCAGTCACGGAAGTCACGTAAACAGGAAACGGTCGTTATCCGTTTTTTTCCATTCTTCATTTAAACACAAAATCGAAAACTGAAAATCTAATCATTATCTGTTTTTTCATTTTGGTTTTGGAGACAAATAATGAAGAAAACTGTTGTTTTTTCGTTTTCTTATTTTTGGTTTTATATTGAAAAACGAATGAACGAATGATACATGGATTCAACTACTACATAATATAATTGTTTAAATACTACAGAGTTTGATTTTATATCAGTTTTCAAAGTAACCTACTTGCAGATTTACTGGAAACTCATTTGTAACGGTCATAGGACGTTGTGAAATCGATGCTTTTCAAAATGGGTCATGCTCTGCTCATGGGACCTTGACACTTGGTCGCCCTTTATTGTGTCATCTTCCCATTATTCAGTATCTTTGTACACTTTTTATCATTCATCTTACACCACATTTACAGACATTTTAAGGAAATGACTGTATTAAGTCTACAGTCGGCGTCTATCTTGGTGACTTTTCTTTTATAAGAGAAAAATCAGTATATAATTTGAGCGAACGGTCTCCATTGTTCCTTTTGCTTTTTCTAACAGCTTAAATTACTTACCCACAATAACAAAACCGCCCTCCGCTTCTTTCTCTGACGTGGATTTTTTTGCGTCCTTGCGAAATCCAAATAAATTAAACATGATGAAACCTGTCAATACAGCAAATAGTATTAGACAAACATAAGCAACAAAACTTTTACACTCTGGCATTTAACACCATGTGAGTTGTCTGGTCCTCTGTATGTTTTATTTTATTATTATTATTATTATTATTATTGTTTTGTTATTTATTTTTATTTACTTAGTCATTTATTTATTTATTTTTTATTAAGTTTTAGCTTTATGCATTTTAACACTTATTATTTATGATTTACTGTCTTTTATTGTATTAATTTGTAAACTGGAAACTGTCATAGTTATAAAATACGCTGTATAAATAAAGTGGATTAGATTAGATTGATAATTATAGTATATAAATGTAGTAGCAATACGATTGTAATGATTTGGAGGTTTGTATTTTGAGAATATCAGATTTTATTTTACCAACTGACTTTATAAATGTGTTCAAAATTGTAAAATAAAATGCATTCAATAACTTATATGAAAAAGTAAGTTATATACCTGTGATGTGAGTAGATAACAGCCAGATTTTTTTTAAAGATGTAGTATATTTTGTAGTATTTTCTGTGTATAATTTAGGATTTTATAAATGTTTTCAAAAGCGACCTACCTTGATCTGACCACAAGTCCACAAAAACGAAACTAAAACTGCCTAAGACTTTGTTTCAAGCGCAGTAGTTCTGGATTATAGAAACCGAAACATTAATCAGATACTTTAAAGTGACTAAAGTAGAATAAATAAACTATTTAAGCGTTCAGCAGAAAATTATTTGTTTAACATGATCGTTTCTGATGTTGTGACGCTACGTCACTTTAAAGAGCTTCTCTATCTCAGTCCGTGTAGAAACAAGCTTTATGTGAAAGTAAGTTCCGTTCAATATAAAATGATAATTCGAATTACTAAATTGAATATAAAATGTGTTTTGCTAATAATAAATATCTAAATTAACCGCTTTAGAGATTGCGTTTATTTTTTTAATCATTTTTTGAAATGTATTATATATGCACTTTTTCCTTTTGCTAGAGATTTTATATTTTATTACTTATTTTTCAATTTTATTTTGATTAGTACATACACATTTATATAATTATTCCTGATTTGACACTGTCTCTTGCTCTTTTTTGCTGCTTATTTAGAATTTACTATTACGATTAATAGTTTTCCTCTTTTTTGATGTGTGAGCTACTATGTCCAAATAATTTCCCTTGTGAAATAATAAAGTTTGTCTAAGTCTATTTTATTTTAATTTGTTTTACTTTTTTATCAAGTGGGCTTCATATTGGGGGATTTTTACAGTGAAAATAAATAAATAAATACATGAATAAAATAAAAATAAAAAATAAGTAAGTAAGTAAAAAAAAAAAAAGTAAGTAAGAAAGAAAGTAAAAAAAAAATAAAAATCTAATCTCGAATAACTATATAATCATTGAAACAGCTGTAAAAAAAAAATAAAAAATTAATAAACAAAATCACAAAATACAAAACAAACGTGGAAAATGTTCGGGGTGTCTGATATTTATTTTATTAATTGTTTTTTTATTTGTCGTATTTTCCCACTTAGGCCATATTTGAAATGTGATAAATAGTTAAAATAATAAATGAACTATTAAACATTATGCTGCGGAACCAATGTGTTTTAGTTTTTGAGGGGACACATTTTGACACAGCGGAGAAGCGCTCGATTTCTATTTTAATCTCTCCCGTCTTTCACCGCGCAGTTTTGTGATTGCTAGTTTCCGTATCCCGCCCTACCGGCACTTCATGTTCAGCAACACCAGCGCCTCCAACACATTTCGCGCGTAGATCCAGCATTTCCCATTTCAGTCCGCGCCACAGAAGCTCAAAATCAACATGGCAAACATAATAGACGTGCCTAAACCCAGAATAAACTGCTCTATGCTCTCGCAGCACATCAACAGACCCGTGTGCTTTGTAGGGCGAGTGGAAAAGGTCGGTTTTCATGATTATAGTGCACGTTTTTAAGTGTTTTCGCTGCTTATCGCTGTGTTTTCTCATTGTCCAGGTTCATCCCACCGGCAAAACCTTCACTGTTTCAGATGGAGAGGGAAAAATAGCCACAGTGGAGCTAAACGAGCCTGTAAGTATTGTGTTTTAACTTGTTCTGCAAAAATCTGGGGTCTAATCGGTGTAATATATGGAGACTTCTTAATTCCGGTGTGTGCTGTCGTCAAAAATGCATAAAAAATGACAAATTACTATAGAATTATTTATTATTTATTCATTAAAGGTGCATTGTGTAACTTTTCTGCCTATAGTCCATCTGAAATCTTAGATAATATGGCTTTAAACTGTTGTATTGCACTTTTTTCAGTTACATCACAAGAAATATGTATAGTCACTGTGAGCGGACTCGCCTTTCCACAGACTAAACCTGTAACTTGGCCTAGTTATTGGGATACAGTGGAACATTCTAGGTAAAAGGAACATTATCTCCATGGAGACAAACAATGGGCTGACAATCCACCAGAAAATTTCACATTTTTTAATCTACCGTCTTGTTGTGATGGTAACGATTGACCCACAAATTAAAGGTGCACTATGTAACTTTTTGTGTCGAGGGTCAGTCACCTGCTTGTTTCTATGGAGATGTCATTGCTCCACTGTCAGTGTTCCACAGTGTGACATTAAACAGCTCTACCTTACATTTATTCAATTACAGCTCAAAAATACTAAAAAAATATAAAAATAAAAAAGGGTATTCTGACTGTGAGCAGGGTCGTCTCTCCACAGATCTGACCTGTAACTTGGTCTATTTTGCTTTCCATGGAGATAGAAAGGTTTAATACTGTGAAAACGATAACATCTTCATGGAGAAAAGCATTTGACGTGACGAAAGTGTGTTTTGTTTTGATTATATTTTAATATTTTGTCAGAATTGTTAGTATCAAATTAATAAAAGTTCTGGGGTAGTTTGAAATTTCAGAAATGTAAAGCAAAAATTGATCCATTCAAGTTCAATGCTTAAGGAAATATGTACTAAATATTCTGTTGTTGACATTCAGAAAATCAATTGATGCTGCACTATGTCACTTTTATTCAATTACAGGTGGTTTTATAACTCAAAAAAACAACATCATTCTGACTGTGAGCGGGGTCGCCTCTCCACAGATCTGACCTGTAACTTGGTCTGGTTTGGTCTTCATGAAGATAGAAATGTTTAATGCCATACTGTGAAACATTCCAGACAAAACAACATCTCTCCACCAGAAAAGCTAGATGGTGCGCCTTTAAAATGTTTCTTGTAACTTTAATCCAAAGGTTGTGTGTTGTTTGTGTGTTTCAGCTTGATGAAGAGCTGAGCGGGGTGGTGGAAATCATCGGTATGGTGTCGAACAAAGGAGTCATCATGGCGTCCGTGTACAACATGCTCAGAGAGGATAAGGGCAACCTCTTTGGTATGTACAATCATGTTAAGGCCTTATTAGTATTTCTATTTGTTTAGGATTATGAATAAGGGAGCTACAGAAATCTGTGTATCTATTATTCATTTGTTTTTCAAAATAAAACCAAAAATAAGAAATGAAAAAAAATAATATTTTCTTCATTATTTGTGTCCAAAACCAAAATGAAAAAATGGATAATGATTACGTGACTTAAACTGTGATGCCGGACTGAACCAGGACTGAACCAGGACTGAACCAGGACTGAACCAGGACTGAACCAGGACTGAACCAGGACTGAACCAGTTTTCAGTCCTGGTCTGATCTGATTTAGTCCCGGTCCAGTCCCGGATCACAGTTTAAGTCACAGAAACGGGAAACGGTCGTTATCTGTTTTTTTCTACATTATTCATTGAAACACAACATTGAAAACTGAAACAAACAAATCTGTTTTTTGATTTTGGTTTTGTAGACAAATAATGAAGAAAATAGTTGTTTTTTGTTTTCTTATTTTTGGTTTTATATTGATAAATGAACAAATGATACCTGGATTTACAGAGAACAGAGCAGATCTAGTTTTAGTCAGATCATATAAAAGCTCCATTTTAGGCCAGTGTCTGATCTGTTATAATGTTGTTCCCTCACCAAAAACAGACCTGGACTTGAGTTTTGTTTCATTCACACATGTTTAACACAAAAACCTGTACATTTAGATGTCTTTGCTCAAACTGAAAACACTTTACTCCACCTTGTGATGTCATGTGGTAATCATAAAACTGTACATATAAATGGACATATCCCAAAACATGCTACACAGGTCTCCAGGAAAACCAGTTGATAACTAAGGTCAATTAAAATTACAATCAATCAATCAATCAATTAACCTGCCCAGGGACTACAGGTGGAAATTAACACTGGTGCTACAACCTGGTACAAGCATCTGTCCTGTTAACTGTTAAGGTTAATGTAAAAATTGTGTTGTGTCCCTCTCATTAAATAAATAAATAGCTTTCTTTCTTGGAATTCTGTTATTGTTTAATAGGATTTGGTACGTTTGCTTCAGCTTGGACCCTTTCTGTCACAATCCATGTAGTTGTGGTGTGTTTTCTTTTTGTTTTGTAGTGCTGCAGAATGACTCAATTAAAAAAATAATAATAAAGAAATGGACATATCTGATGCTCTAGTCACCACAGAATGTATAAAAGAAGTGAATTTAAGCGAGTGTGACGCTCAAATGAGGCTCTCGATGCAAATGATTACAGGAGCGAATCTGGAGTCAGATTTTATGTTATGAATAGGACAAAATAGCGGGGAAAAATTCAGGATCATGTAGAGCAGGTTAATACAAACTTTTTAAGACCAAAATGATGAGGCTCACAGCAGCAGTTATAGAGAGAGGGACGACAAGATCCAAATGTAAGTCCGTTGGAGCCAGAGTCAGAAAGAGCCGGAAGAGCCTCCTGGTGAACTTCCTATTTGGCATGTGGCGACTATGTATGTGCTTTAGCTATGTCCGCTCATATATACGATCTATGGTTCCAAACAGCAAGTTCACATGTGGCTCTTCGGGCTCCTTCTGACTCTGGCTCCAATTGACTTGCATTAGAATATTGTGGCTCCTCTCTCTGTATCTGCTGCTGTGAGCCTTGTCATTTTGGTCTTAAAATGCATGTTTTAATCCACTCTACATGATCCTGGTGTTTTTTTGTTTTTTCGCTATTTTGTCTGTCAAAAAGTCCTATTCATAATATGGAACCTGGCTCCAAATTTGTTCTCTTCACAAGCTTCATTTGAGCGGCGCTGAACACTGTGAATGACGTCACACTCGCTAAGTCCACATTTTTTTATACAGTCTATGGTGGTAATACAGGAAGTGCTCCACTGTGTTTTTAAAATCCATACACCTTTGCCACTGCTGCTTCATGACATCACAAGGTTGAACAGAGCATTTTGAATTTGAGATGTAGACTAATAAATAAAAGGTTTGCTCAAATGAAACATGTGAATGAAACAAAATAAAACTCCAGGTCTGTTTTTGAGAAGGTAACAACTTTATAACACGACTAAAAGCTCACAAGAGTCAATTTTGTGTAATATAGGACCTTTAAATGATATAATAGACATGGTAGTTATTTGTATGATGTGGAGATTTACACTGCAGAATTGGTCTCAGAGTTTAAACATTGATTCTGTTTACCAGGGTAGCCACGGGGTCTTAAAAGTCTTAAAAAGGTCTTAAATTTCATGTTTCTAATTTAAGGCCTTAAAAAGTCTTAAATGATGTTGTCCATGTCTTCTTTTTTTTCCACAAAGGTCTTAAATTTCATTAACCTATTAGTTTGTTTACTCAACCGGGCTGCAGTGCGATGTTAAATCGAATCGAAACAAAGCAAAATAAAAACAACGTGAAATCATGTAACGTGAATGAACGTCTAATTTGGAGTATACGCAAACAATACTTTGGTTTCTGGCACCGGCAGCAATGAGTAAACAATCAGTAGAGTGGAGGAAGACGTTGGATGGATCATGTTGGTTTAATCAACAGTGGCTCTTAGATTCTAGATATGTAGTTGGTTGGTCATTATTAGAATTGGATCTGGTGTTTTTCTCAAGCATAATTGGTGCGACGTTGGTCTTAATTTTCATTTCAGTGGTCTTAAAAAGGTCTTGAAGTCTTAAATTTGGGGTAGTCAAACCTGGGGATACTGTTTTATAGAGTAGCAGGAACCTTGATCAATTTAGGCTATTAAAACGATGACTTAGTTTAGTCTTTTTATATACATACAACTTTAACAACGCATTGTATTAAGAGTTCTAAAATAAATAAAAGATCTGCCTCTCTGTCTCCTCTCACTTAGTTTTTCTTGAATTACATTGGTGTAAACATGAGACTAATAACTGTCTGTGCCCCTCAGATATTGAGCTGTATAATGAAGCCTTGAAGGTCGTCCACGACTTTCCGCAGCACTACCCGTTTGAAGGAGCCGTCAGCGGATAAGCACTAGAGACACACACAACTGTTCACTTTATTTTTTTTTTTATATCTGTACAAACTTGTTTTCAAAATAAAAGTATTGTTCACAAATCTCTGACTTGGGTAAATATTTATTGTAAAAAACATTAATAGTTATGACCAGCAGATGGCAGCATTGTCAACTCTAAAAACCCTTTAGACTCGTTCAAACACGTGGGCATGACATTTGTAAACGAAAGGTTGGCAAATTAAAGAAAAAGAACAACTGATTCTTTATGATTGTGGAAATGTATCGATACAATATTGTGAAAGTCAGTATTTGAAGAATTTTAGTAAGAACAGTGTATTTTTGTTTTGTTTGTTTTTTTTTCTCTATTTTTTAAATGCAGAAGTTGTACTAGATCAGTGTAACCATAATTATGAATAATTAATACTCTACGTGACAATTATGCACTTCATTAGTTGGAAGAAGACTCAAAAGTTTCAGCATTTTAAAGATTGCGCCCTCTGCTGGCTTCAAGTGGGACATCTTAAACGTTGATTTGCGCTTTTTTTTAATACCTCCCATCAGAAGTGGGAACTTGCAAGTCGTGACTTGGACTCGAGTCAGACTTGAGTCACTATTTTTAGGACTTGAGACTTGACTTGATAAAATGGACTAAGACTTGGGACTCGATTTGGACTTGAAGGTCAGTGACTTGGGACTTGACTTGGACTTAAGGCCCAGGACTTGAGAAGACCTGATGCTTCTCCTAAAAAAATTATCTTTTTAGAAAATACTTTTCCCTTTACAGTTGATAAATGCAGTGATTAATTTTACAGGAACAAATTGGAACATGTCCCTCCCACTTTGTTTGGTACTTTAACTGAAGTACTGTGATGTGGTATCCTCAAATGTACTACAGTAATATGCAGTGCAATAAAGTACAATACAGTATTATACAGTACAATACCATAAAACAGAAGGAACTACAAAGAAAATTATCTTTCATGATAAAATAACTCTTATTTAGCACTTTTAAATCTGAATTATTTCTATTCTGACCATAATGATTTGCACTAAGATCTTGTCAAGACATTTAAAAATGAAAAAATTGCATTTCTACAACTCTTATATAAATATTCCATGACTTTTAAACTACAGTTTAGTTTAAAATTCATATAAATTGCAAAAATCTAAGCTATATTTGGTACTTTGGTTTAAAGACTTGAAATGACTTGAAGCTCAAAGCAGACGACTTGGGCTTGACTTGGACTTAAGGGCCAGTGACTCGAGACTCGACTTGGACTTGACTCGGACTTGAGGTCAAAAAGACTTACTTGAGACTTGCAAAAGAACGACTTGGTTCCACCTCTGCCTCCCGTTTCATTTCAAATTTTCTTCCACCTGCAGGAACTCTCAATCAAACTAATAGACCTTAACCTAATAAAACCCTAAAGAGATACGTGGCCATGTCGCGTTTGCTCTGTACGCTTGTGTTTGAGGTTGCACCAGGGAGAATAATCATGTTAAAACTAGCTCTTAATCTTTCGGTAGCTTCATCATCTGTCAAATAATTCAAAGACTCCATCATATCTGTCACAGGGCGATTATAATGGGAATTCTGCTGCAATTTAACTGCTCAGACAAACTCACGCTGCACACCAAGCTTTTTGCAACCTGAAAGAGTCAAAAAGTAGCAAATAATATGTACAGATATGTTTATATTTTCTGTGGAGACCAGACGTCCCTTTTTACCCGAGATAGTCCCAGTTTTGAGCCCCGTGTCCCCTGTCACAGCAGATTTATACAAAACCAGTGATTTGTCCAAGAAATGTCCCTATTTTTGACCAATCTGATCTAAACCAGGACTAAACTGAGACTAAACCAGGATTACATCAGGTCTAAACCAGGACTAAACAGGACTATCACAATTTTTGACTAATCTGATCCCTGCCAACAGTAAAGAGGAGCATAAATTGTCATTTGTTTTGCCAAAATACAGAAAATCGTGTTTGTAAATGACCACAAGTTCCTCGGATCATGACTGACACAAAAATGCACAATGTCGCACGCTCTTTTCTCAAATTTATTTAATACTGATAGATAGAGACATGCATCCAACAAAAATTGCGACTGCGTGCTGAGTCCCAAGACAAAAAAACAAAGAGATCTGCACTGGAGTTCTTTGAAGCTCCCAAATTTTGATTTCAATGACACCACAATGTGACGTTTCGAGCTTCAACGAACTCCAGTGCAGATCTCTTATTTATTTATTTTTTTGTACAATTTTATTTAAACCAAACTTCCCCAACCTGGATTTGTCCCAGTTTAGAATTAAATCTTACCCTAATATTTTCATAACTTTTTTAATGTTGTAAAACTGGATATTACTTTAAAGTTGTATTGTGTAACTTTTCTTGTCTTCATAATAAGTGTTTTATTGTTTTGCCAGAATGTTTCGCTTTTTCTATCTCCATGGAGCCACTTGGACTCGGTCTTGCCTCGGTCTTGAAGACGCTTGGGCTCAATTTTGTCTCGGTCTTAAACGCGTTTGGACTCGGTCTTGTCTCGGTCTCGGGGTCTGACACACGACAAGTGATAAAATGGAGATAGACAGATGCTGTGGTCCAAAGCCAGAAAAACAATCTGATGAATCTCACTTTTAAATAGTTGTTTTCCTTCTCATTCATGCTGTCAAAAGTTGTATTTAGACTGATTCATGTATTTTGAGTGATCTTTATTCTCCTGTTTTCAAGACACCATATTGCTGATTTACCCCTGTTTTCACCACCCACTGTTCTGTATTACTTTATTTATTTATTTTTTCTAAATCAATGATACGTGTACAAATTCTCGAATTGGCAGCGCTGCGTAGCTATTTGGTCAAAAATGTACAAAATCACTCCCACTAGTGTGATCTGTTAGTCTTATTCATCAGCCAGTTTCACTTTGTCGAAACCGTCTGACCTCGCAGTATTAGGATTCGTTCGCTCGATGGTAGGGGGACACCTTTTTATATTTAACCAATCGCTACTAGAGGTGAGGTCGGGCCTAAAAAATCCAGCCCGACCCGACCCGGCCCGCGGGTATTAAAACCAGACCCGGCCCGAGCCCGACCAGTTAACTTGATTTGCAGGCCCGAGCCCGAAGCAAACCCGAAATGTCATATTTTATTTGTGACTCGGGAGGAGGAGCAGTGCTCAGCGTCGAGGTGCCAGTCTTTTTGCTCTCGTATGAAAGCAAAGCGCCACATTGACGACATTCAGCGAAGCCAACGCAAGTTTCTGTAGCATTTTCAACAATCAATTTGAAGCTTTTCCACACCTCACTCTTACCAGTGCGTGTTTGTCTTTTCAGTTCTCCTGCCTTTAGTTCTTGCTCCTCCATATTGGGGACACCAGGTCAAAATAGATGCAGACTTGCGGAGGGGAAGATTATTAAATTAAGAGGGGGCGTTCACGTGCGCAGAGCTCTGGCTCTGCGGATCCTGTTTAGTAGTTAAATAGCAATTACATTACATTACTTCTCTGTTTTATCCATATTATTTATTTTATAACAAGTATTCCTTAGTTTAGTATCCACACATCGTTTTAGCATACATTTTATAAACATATATTTATTTGAAGCCCGAGCCCGACCCGACCCGAAGTAATGATTGACATTTTAGGCCCGACCCAACCCGAATTTCAGGTCGGGTCGGGCTTGGGCTTGGGCTCGGTCTTAAGATCTTACCTCTAATCGCTACTAATGGGACTAACTGGTAGATTAAGCTTTTCCCAAATCCCATAGGAAGGTAAAATTCACCAAACATTCTCTTTGTTCCGGCTTTAAATCCTCGATCTCGGGAATCGTTGCCATCGCAGAATGTCTGTCTTCGTCTACATCCATCTCGACCGTTTTGTTTACTTTTGTGCTGTTCCACAAAAGGGACACAGACAGGCGCTTGAGTTTGACGTCATGGCTTCACAGCTCTTCCCTGATTGGCTGGTGCCCAAACTCACACTTCCAGGATTTTTGCGAACAGTCTAGTGTATTCTGATTCCTGACCTAGTCGCTGGAGAGAAATGAAATGGAGCAGAGGCACTAGGTGACACCAGCCTCATTAGTGATCTGCAGCTCCAAAGAAGGGCTGGTTAAAAGCTTTTCTCCATGGAGATGTTATTGCTTCATCTGGAATGTTTCACAGTATGGCATTAAACCTTTCTATCTTCACAGAGACCAAACCAGACCAAGTTACAGGTCAAGATCTGTGGAGAGGCGACCTGCTCACGGTCAGAATACATTTTTCTAAGTATTTTTGTGTGTGTAATTAAATAAATGTCAAGTAGAGCTGTCATTTTACATCAATATTACAAGAGGAGAAAATTCAGTTTGTCGACTGGACAAAAGTTAGTTTGGTTGAAGACGTTTTGCAGCTCATCCAAGCTGCTTCTTCAGTTCTGGTCAGACGCTGGTGAACACTTCTTTATATCTGCAGGGAGGAGCGAACTAACTACTATGAAACTAACACACCTACTTGTTTACAGTTTCTTTTAGTTAGTTAGGCCTATTGACCTGTGCACGGTGTGGGGTCCAATTAGCATAACACACCCCACACCCTGAACTGAAGAAGCAGCTTGGATGAGCTGCGAAACGTCTTCAACCAAACTAACTTTTGTCCAGTCGACAAACTGAATTTTCTCCTCATGGATTCTACCTGGACGACTGAGGGATTCTTCACACATCAGTATTACAATTTTAAATGTGTAAATTATAACAAAAAAATCCACGTGTGTCGTAGATTATAACTACAGTATATACGAGACACAAACACAATGGGTCGTCTTGCAAAATTCAGGAATGTTTATGTATTTTTTAGCACCTTTAATAGCTGGTGTAGGATTAGGAAATACTATACGTACAGTTAAATCTTCTACTGTAAGAGTGTAATCTTATCCATTTTCCAGAGCCCAGGGCGAGATCTGACAGCTGTTTGATTTGTAAGTGCTGTTAGTTAATATTGTGACAAATGAGTCCTGGAACCCGGAGCACAAGTGTAGTCATGAGGAAATGAAGTGTATATCGGTATCTTTATGGCTAACGTGTGTATGTGTCAGATCATTTTCGGGTTGCAGTTCTGGTCCCATCT